TTCATAATTACATTTATGCCTTTTTTAAAAAAGTCATCAATATCTGTTTGTTTTTCAGTAGAAATTTGTATACAAATGTGATATACGCTCATTATACTATCAAGCAGGTCATTTTGACCATGAAACAAAGCATATTGTCTTATATTGTTAATATGTTTATACATATATCCTGCTGAGCATACTTTCAAATCATCAGCCAGAGCTCCAGATAATTTTTCATGCAATTAGTTTTAAACTTCTTGATTTTTCAGCAATTAGATTTTACACTACGCGATTTCAAATTCAATAAGTTTTTTAGGGATCTAGGATTTTTTTTGTCGAAAGGTCATATTTAATGGGGTACTACATGTATTTTATAAAGCATCAGATGAGCACCTACACCATCAGCAATGAAAGGCTCGGTTCTGTAATGTTTAGTTCACTACGTTTCACGATTCTTTTCCGACTACAAACGATGACATTTGCTATTTACTCAGTCTCAATTCCACGCATGATTTCCTCATTCGACTTATCCGGTCTTTTTTGGCAGTCTGTCATTATTTTCGCTCGTTCCTAAGTCATTTTCGATTTGTTTTTCTGGAAGGGAGGTCACTCTGAGCACATGACATAAATGTGCAAATGCGGTGTTGTGATTCGTTATTGCTCTGACAAATATGTCAATATAAATATTACAGTCTGAAAACTGTTTCTTTCTTTCCGATTTTGAAACGATTGCAATTGTTATTCAATTCTTTTTTAAACGACAAATTATTTGTGAACGTCATTTAATAGATACTTTTACACCGAATTTCTTATATTTTGGCCAACATTTTGTGGAAACTGGCCGCAATATTAAAAGTCATTTATGGAATACACTTATATTGTAAAAATCATCGGGAGGATTTTATGCGGCCGCTTAAAAAAGTCGCTTAATAGAGGTGGATGCAAGTACGATGCCGACTGTATTACATTTAACGATAAAAACAAAAAGATTATTATATGATAAAGATATAGTATTTCTAGGCGTCTTGTCCAACTTAAAGGAATAATTATAATACCGTGTTTACTAATTACATTGTGGTGCAAAGTGTCTCCATATTGTGATGATTTTTATGTGTCTATGACTGTAGGATAAAAACTAATTAATTCTTCTTCCATAACATAACCCGTGTTCTGCCTTGTTACAGAATGCTTGCAAAGTATGCTTTTAGGGCCTACAGGTTCCCTGTTAAATTAATTGGATTTCCATATATCTAATTACATCCAATTAAATTGTAGAGTGAATAGAAAATTCAGCAAAAGCTGCGAAATACTAGCAATACGCTTTTGGATAAAATATCGTGAAATCGCCTTTGTAATCAATTATACAACTTCCAAGAAAGCGTGCCCTAAAATTCAAATTTTTAGAGTAAGATAAACAGATTAAAACACATATTAATTGAAATTTTTGAACATATTTATTTAACACTCAGCGTACAGAAATTGAAAGTGATTAGCCACTGGCTCTCGTAGAGGCGCGACCAGCCTGCACATCAATACAGTCCAACCAAGATCTACTCTGTTGGCTAAAATCTTTTAAATTGCATCATTATATCCATAAAAATGATAAATGACAGTTGCGTAATTGGAAGCAGAAAAAGTAAATAAAAAATTCCATTTAAGCAAGGTTTAAACAAGATGAGAACATTTCTGCACTCCGCGAAAACAATTATAACGTTATGGTCATTTGATTCGGTTGCTTAAGTATTACGTTTTTCATATGAAATATTCAAAATTGATAATAATAATAATAATAATAATAATAATAATAATAATAATATATAAAATAATAATAATATAATAATAATAATTATTATAATAATAAATAAAAATAATAATAATTATAATAATAATAATAATTATGATAATAATAATATTGATAATAATAAAAATCTCACTCTGAGCAAAGACAGTATTCATGTTTCATGTCATGCTTAATACCATTAAGTACATTGTATACAATTGTCAAAAATAAATTTGGTATGCAAAACATTTTATCCAGTGATTTTACAAGATTAGTTTCGATGTGGCTGAATAATTGAAGATAAAGACTCCGATCTTTGGACAATTTCCTTATAGGTGTAATTTCAGTCAACCTAAGACTACAGTGGAACCTTTTTATTGCGGCCCTCTTAGAGCAATATCGTCATTACAACAGTTGCAATTCATTCGTAGAGTAAGTTATTTTACATTAGATTTAACATCTATAGAGTCACAATTGTCAATAAAAAAGATATATTTTCCCTTTGATGTGGCTTTGATTAGGTACTACTGTACTTGCAAACCCGAACAGAATAACATTTATAAAAGTAAATGATGATTAAAATAAAGTAATTAGTGTCAAAAGGTTATTACTCCTGAAAATTAAACACAACATTATTATTATGCATTACCTCAGCTTCAAAGAGTATGCAAATAGGCTTGAAAAACTCTCATCTGCATTGAACCTGAGGCTCGTGGGTTCAAAGCCTAGAACGTCAACCGTTTTTAAACATTATTCATGTATCTCTCAGAACCCTTTAAAATGAAAAAAAGGATGTTTAATTTTAGTCATATGATAATTATAGGTATTAATTGGATAAATAAATACATGTATATGCTAAATTTAATAACATACATGGTACATGATTTTTAAAAATATCAAAACTATACCGTGCAAATATTTAATAGTTGACATTTTGCAGTTCCTTATAGTGACCATTATTGTGGTCGTGCATCAAGTCTAATAAATCTAAATATAAACATCCAGATCACCTAGCTATTAGGAGATGCCTGGTACAGCAGTCGTTTTAATTACAGTACTTACTTCTTGTGGCATTTTGCAACGCGTAGGATGCAAAAGTACAGAAAAATATGTGTTGGCATATGGGACTGTATATATAATCTGCAAGACATTATGACAAAATTATAGCTAGAAAAGTAGAACGTATGATAATTATATTTTGTTTGAGCAAACAGAGGAAGATACAAAAGTATTTGAAAAATTTATTATCGTTATAGAATATCAACAATGAAAATTACCAATTTTATTACAGACAAAATAATGTCAAATAGTAATACTAGCAGAATAATAACGGTCACATTAAGACGCATAAGACCTAATACTGGTTATAAGTTACAAACTACTTTTTGACAATCTTTATTCACTGACGAATTTAAATCGATATTTTAAGCAACATAGTTAGATATAAACCTGCATTTCAATTAAATTTTCGAATATAATAATAAAAATGATAATAATAATAATGATAATGATAATAACAATGATAATGATAATTATAATGATATGATGATAATGATAATAATTATGATTAAATTGATGATGATTATGACAATAATGATGATGATGACGATACTACTGCTACTATTTTTTTGTGTGAAATTAAATTAATTTTTCAAAGACTTGCAAAATACAAAACACATGTACAAGCCTCGCATATGTAAGGGAAATGAATAAATACAAGGATTGGATACATATATTTGTCCTGACAACAAGTATGTACTAAGCATCCAGAGTTTAAGAACATGTTTTTGCACGGTAGAAGAGTACTTGAAGCTTTAGAGCTTATTTAAGCGTCTGACAGGTACACAGTAAACATCAACACTTCTTTTATATTTTTCCCATCAGTTATAAGTTTCTAAGGTTCATATTCTTTAAGTAACAACCCTGGGATAAAAATGTAGGATATATCTATTAAGAATCTTATAAATCTATGTAATAGTATTAACGCAGAATTTATTGCATTGTTTTTTGCATTTGATCCGGAAGAGGTTTATTGTTCTTATTATTATCAAGATTACCTTTTATTACATAAAAATATACGCGCTCAGCGTTTTTTTGTAACTCTCCCACGACATGCAATTGTACGTGGAAATTAACTAAACACATAATGAAAATCATAAAGTTACCAATTGAAATTGTCTGACACAACTTTAAAAGTCTTCCGTTTATCTGTCGGTATTTAAGACGCGAGTTGGAGAAAATAGTAGAGAAGATTATAATCTGATAGGCACCTTGTCATTTCAAAACAAAAATCACTTTATATAAACATATAATTTTGTTTGATAAAAGAAAATGGTATGAATATATAGTAAAGATATGTCCCCATTTAAAATATGGTCGTATTTTGTTCATTAAGAAAATTATGACCATTTTTATAGAGGAATGTCATGTAAAAATGTCTTTTAATTATAAAAATGTAAAGCAAAAGACATGGTCCTAGCAAGGGGTGATCAATATTCAGTCTATACATAATTTGTAATATTAAAACAATCATTCATTTATGATATTAAACAACGTCAAAGTGTCACATTACTGATTATTTACCTAAATATGTGCATGTATTTCTGAATATTTCACTGTACAATATTCGTTTTAACTTTTTACTTTAAATGTTGCTTGTGTCAGTGCTTTGAGAGGACAGTGTTGCATGTTTGTATTACACCAACTGTCGTACTTGAACAGGCTTATTCAAACTGAGTTGTCCAAATATTTGCCACTTTAAGCGACTTTCATGTTTCTTATCTAAGGAAGCAATGCCACCCTCCTCACTGCCATGTTACAACAATACAATCTTCAAATTACTTATACCGTTGAAATGTCCTTTACTTTTATTGTTATATTTTTTTTAAATAACAGTAAAAATGTAAGTTACATTGCCCATGAATATGTTACCATGGCCTATGATAAAGGACGGAAAAAGTTCTACATGCCTTTACAGAAGCAAATGTCGTCATCCTCATGTACCACATTGTATACATGAATCTGCATCATTTCAGTATAAATATAGTCTAGACAAGAAAAGCTGACAATACGTCAAAAGCAGGCGACTGTAAATTGCGTTATACATTACAAAACAAACATGGCAGAACAGGCAAGATGCCTTTTAAGTTGTTTTATGATTCTTATTTGTTTTTCTTTCTCATCTACAAGATATATTGGATGTTACATTGACAAGCCTAATAGAGCTCTCTCCTTTCAAATGCCTGACAGTGACCAGAACACGGGGCAACGTTGTAAACAACAGTGTTGGAGTGCTGGCTACAAGTTTGCGGGAACTCAGGTATAGATAACACAAACCAAAAACTTTTAAAACAGTTAACATGGCTCAGAATAAATCGGCTATACGTTTATATGACTTTGTGGCGCTGTCAAAATAATTTACAAAATTATTTATAATGCAGCAAAGTTCCTTTTTAAGGATATATATTTTAAAAAAAAGCTGTGTTGATAGGTTACATTGTAAATCTGTCAAGAGTATCAAAAGATAATGTTACAAGCTTGCACTATTATATGAATAAGTACACGACTTAACACTGAATAGAAATGGTTTTATAGTTAAAAATAATCAAATTTAATTGAATGTTAATTTCGACTTGAATAGATAAAAGGCAGTACATTTCTACAATTTTGAAAATTGAACTTAGCTTTCCTTACACTTCTTACTTTATTCTTGTATTGATTCATAGTATATAAGTCATACCAGGTTGATTACTGTTTACACGTTGGCACATCTTTGTATCATTTAAATGCTGGCAGGAAAAGGAAAAACAAAAACGTCAAATATAAGTTATTTAGGAAGAAATCGTCATAGTATAATAAGTCTAGTAATAAAGCGTCAAAATTCATCAAAAGTCAATGACATTTATGAAAATACGTACTAAAATTAATTTGATTTCAGTAAAGCACTTTAAGCGATAGATGTATGTCCAATTTTTATGATACAGCTATTAAAAAAAACTTACTTACTTCTAGGGCGGAGTAGAGTGTTTCTGCGGAAACATTTTTATAAATCACGGAATAGGAATGGGATGTACAACCATGTGTTCAGGTAGTAATAATGGTGAAATGTGTGGTGGTCTTTGGCATTTATCCCTGTTTGAGACTGGGCGTAAGTATATCCATGCCACTTTATGATCAACTGTCACTTTGTGAATTTTGGTTGTCAGAAACTTTCTCATATATTGCAAATTCGCTTAATGTAACGTGACATTCGGTCATTTTACAAAATTGTAAACACTACAAGAAAACTACAGATACGATACCAACGCTAGTAACTAAATTTAAATAAAAAGGAAGAAAGAAAAAAAATTGTTTATAAATATTATGTCAAATATAAATTATGAAGTTATTATTTAGTTTACGTACCAAATGGATTTATTGGATGTTACAAGGACAAAAGAGACCGTATTTTGTCGACGAGCTTGTATAGTAGTGATTCAATCACGGGAGACGTTTGCAAACAGGATTGCAAGGACGCCGGCTACAGATATGCTGGAACAGAGGTTTAAATCTTCAATTTTCCAAGAGTCTGGTATACGGCAACACATTAACGAGCCGCGCCATGTCAAAATTAACATAATGCGTTTGCGACCAGCATGGATCCAGACCAGCCTGCGCATCCGCGCAGTCTGATCAGGATCCACGCTGTCCGCTATCAGTTTCTCTAATAGGTATAGAATTTGTAAGCGAACAGCATGAATCCTTATCAGACTGCGCGGATGCGCAGGCTGGTCTGGATCCATGCTAGTTGCAAACCCATTATGTTGGTTTTGTCATGGCGCAGCTTAAATATGCCATTTTATTACATGCTTTTCTGTGGATTACTGATTTATCCTTGTAAATTATATTTGATAATTTCACAGCGAAATTTATCAAAATACAATATCACACTTTTCAATAAAGTGACTGCTTTGTAAAGATTTTCCCCATGTGGTACCAACCTTTCATTTATGCTTATAATTCTGGAATATCTAGAGCTGATTAGAGCAAAGCAAATCTGACAAAACAACAGCTGCAAACACTATATATCTAAAATCTTTGAAATGACCTAAAATAGTGTCTCTATTCTTTGTACTAGAATACTTTTCTGTAACAACGCTATGTCTTTTAGCGGTTAAGATATGTTAGACTTGTTTTTATAAGTGAGTGTCTCGAAACAAATGAGGAAATAAAAAAAACTGATCGTAATAAAAACTCAATGATCCGTTTATTTTTCTTTGTATTTCTTTTTCTAAAGGGTTTGGAATGCTTCTGTGGACACACGTTTAAAGATTACACTAAGGAAACAGGGTGCAACGCATGGTGTTCTGGCAATCAAAATGAAAGATGTGGAGGCCATTGGCGCATCTCTCTCTATGATACATCATGTGAGTTTGTGAACTACCTCAAGTAAAGTTAATTTACGTAATCTTGTTTGTTGCTTCAATGCTTTTTCTATGTTTAAGCAAGTTAATATATTCATATGCATGTTTTCAATTCCAGAGTTATCAATTTTCTACATTCTATTATAATTCCTTGTTTATAACTTTAACAAAATTTCTTCTTAAATTTCTGACTTTTGCACTTTCATTGTTTAACATGTATAAAGACTGTTCATTGTCCTTGCAGTAAGTGGGTATTGCGAGGATTCTGTTGGATATTGTCCCTCTAAATGGGTTTGCGAGAATGCAGTAAATGGGTTTTTCTGTAGGAAGAATCCATAGGAACCCAGCTGATTAGACTACAATACAAGAAATAGCTTTTGGAACAAGTGAATATATTTATGTATTGTATCTTTGAATAAAAAATTACATCTAAATTGTCTGAAATTCTTCTGATGTTATCTTTCAGATTACAATATATGATATAAATAACATCCTTGTTTCAGTTAAACTGAGAAAAATATACTTTTTATGTACAAGTACATTATTTAAATGAGTATTCGTTGACACTAAATAAGTAAATAACAACCATAAGTAAATTATTCAAATGTTTTTTAAAAATGATTATTTTTTATAGCAAAAGCAATTGGGCCGATTTTGAGAACTTTGAACAAAAAATCGGAAAACAAATGCAATCGCACTGCCGTGTAAACTACATTGTAGTTACTCGAAAACAGTTTTGAATGGGCCCTGAAACTAAGGAGAAATATATATGCGATTTCAGTACGTAGTTACTTACTGAATGCAAAGCAATTATTTATCATGGTAGAGACATACTAGTTGTCGCTATTTTAACTGCATTCAAGGTCTAGTTAATCGAACTAAACGACAAACATAGCCACATTTCGATATATATTTATAACCTTTTCAAACTACAAGATGAGAAAAAAAACATCAAGCATCTTAATACTCGTATATCCTATTTGAGATTTAACTCAAAGACACATTAGAAAAATCAACCTACCAACATATTCAATTATTTGTACCTTTTATATGCTTAAAAAGACAAGTTTAAGTAGCTATTTATATAATGCTTTTTAATGTGTCTTATTAACGATCAGTTAAAAAATGCAAATGCGAACGCTCATTGCCTTATTATCTATCTATCCCTTAGGTACCTTACTTCATTTCGCTTATATTTACACAACGCATGTCAGACACTTTTAAATGGGCACACCAGAATTAAAATTGAACATTTTACATAAAAGGGGCTTACTTAATTACAAAGCCATAAAATATCAATGACTAGCCCTTTGTTATCTTGCTTCTTTCTTCTTATATATGCACTATATAATCATATTGATTCTGTTAATTTTAAGACACGTTGGCACTGTTAATGTCGTTTCACCGGCTTTACTTGAGGAGGAAGACCTCAGTCGGCGACTTTTACCATTCGGCACAAGGGGTCTACACTATATACTCTAAAGGATATTCAGTCAGTGTGCGCAATTGCATGAAATGGGATTATTTTACTTAATACCTTGCAATTTATATACAGACGAATATAATTCAATTGACAAGCTTTCTCTTATTCGCCGAGATAACAATAAATGAGGGTCAACATTTTGCATTGTTCACAATAAGTTATGAACAAAAACATGTTTTTTTATTGTGCAATTTAATCGTACTACATTAAGATGCATTGTTAAGCAAACAAAAATATTAAACGATTTTGAATGCTTGGTATTGCAAGTACGTGCTTTGTGCCATATATACTTTATCTAGGAAAAAATTAAAACATCATTAAACTGAATTTGAATTCTGCTCCTTTTCACCCCTTCTAAGAGTAAACTTCAGTGTTGGCATATCTTCTAGTTTTTTAGAATCAATGATTTTAAAACAGTGTTGAAATTGAAAACAACTTACACCGGTGCTAGGGAGCCTAAAACGTTATATTATGAACGGATATTATACGGCTAGTTATACGGCATCAACCCTTCCACGAACACTGTTAACCTACAAATTGGTCAAGTATGATTTATTGCAACCATAAAGCAAAGTCGTTTTATGTTATCGAATTATTTTCCACAGACAACATGTTGCGACTCGTTACACTTAGATAAGCTTATTAAACGTAGCATACTTTTTACGTCAGCTGTTACAATAGCAATATATTTTTCTAAAAAATGGGATACAATGTTTAGGCACCTGTTCATACTGAAATAAAAACCTAATGTCTTTATATTCAATTTGTCTAGTTTTCTTTAAGGTACACTCAAAGTGAATATTAGGCTAAATTTCTGTAATTTGTCAGGTTCATCCATTTGTCCTTCTGTTTTATAAGCAAAATAAGAGAAACGGATTACTGCAGGATTTTACTTTCGTAAAACTTAAATTAAATATTCTGGCGTTCTTTCTCAAATCTGAAAAGTAATGCTTGTAGAGCAATTTTATAAAAAAAAATTGGACGGACAACTTTCATTTTAATATGAAGATAATTATGTGTTCTTTTTCACATATATAATATAAATAGATCATGTCATACTTTTAATCCTCAAACGTGGTTTTGACCCATTGTGTTGCTTTAACAATATTATTTGCATTCATTGATGACTATAAATTATAAAACAAAATGTTTATAAATGAATATAGATACAGACCCATAGTAAAAGCTCATTTTATTATTTAACGTTAAGTGAGAAAAAATGTGCAGCCTTGCCGGGACTCAAACCCGAAACTTTCCGAAAAATGCGTTTCATGGCTCCGACATGTCCGAGATATCCGGCCGCTTACACATATTCTCCACTAAATAGTGAACAGTACTGGACCGTGACATACTCTTCCGCTTTATTGAAACCCGTCCTATTTTTGAATAAAATCAATAGCAAAGTATAAGACAACAATAACAACAGGGATTTGAATATCTTAATTAGTTCATGTAAGACATTTTTAGTTAATTGCTTTTTTTATTTAACTTTTGCATGATAAATCATAATGAAAAATACGAGATTAAATTTAGATGTGTAAAATAGTAAGCTCAGGAGTAGTTTATTACATGTTTTGACATATATAGTACAATTCAGAGCAGTTGTAGTTTAAAAAATATATATCAAGTAATTAAAACAAAGCATTCCCCGCAAACATACAGAATGCATCATGCACAACAAAGTCTAAAGCAATTTCAATATGAAACGTAAGAGTCCATGTTTTGTTTGAAAATCAAAATAAGGTTGTCAGGTTGACCAAAAGTCATCACGCACTTGACAGTGGAATAGGCGTGTTTAAATATCATTTATTGACTTGTCAATCAATTTCCATCAGTACAAATAGATATTCTGTGCATGTATATTTAACCTTCTACACATTGTTGAACCAATAAATGAAGTCAAAAATGTGTTAAACAGCTATACATTCAGTTCAAAATAACCATATCAATTGGCAAAACATTATTTATTTTGATGTTATCATGTTCAAATACGTATTAAAGATTTAGGTATCAATTCATTTGAGAGCAATTAATTACCATCACCTTGACGGTGATTCCAGTCTAAAAACATATAATGTACGTCATTGCACAATTTTTGAAAATAATAGCTAAGACATTACTGGAATTTATAAAGTTGTCCTTCTGTAATCCTTCTTTAAGTATATCATGAATTAAGACATGCTTAAAACAAGTCAGGAGAGAATTAATATTTGATAAATAATAACGAAGTTGACTGCCATATATCCATTGTAAATTATTTGGAAGATATGTTCATTAGAACTTAAAATTTCTGCATTAGTTCCCGAAATGTGGGATTCCCAGCGGCAAAATTATTTTTACAACAATCTTGTTTTGATGTTGAGATAATATAATTATTTAATGTCTATGGTTAAATTCATTTCAATAATTTGATTGTTAAGTGCTTTTGATATAACATCGTCAAACAGTCGCTAGAAAATAGATTCTCACAACACTTCCAGGAATTCAGTTTGTGAATGCCAGCCATGTTTATTTCGCGTTTTTGAATAAACAAAACGTAAATATGCGACAAAAAGGAAAAGTTAAATATCATTTGAAGTGTATTGCTTAGATGGTATTGCGTTAAAGGTTTTCGCCATGATTGCAAGTATACATATAGCAGAATAAAGTCCTTATAGTATAATTTATCTAATCTATGTATGATTTTGATATAAGGGTAACCGACTTCATTTCCGAATTATCTTCTATTGAATTAAAAGTGTGCTTATGTAAAGGGCAGGTGAGTCACAATCAAGGTAAGCACACCATTTGTTTTTGCTTTTGATATAACTGACTTCTTCTCTAGTAAATAAACAAATATCAAAAATTAGTACTGAGAAGTTAGATTAATCAAAGCTATGCATATGTCCGTTAAGACAAATAGCCTATCACCTATAAGTCAACTTTGAATATTTTTATTATTATATATTTAAGATCATGAATAATGTGGATAAATTCTATTATAAAGTGTTCACTCTGCTACATATTTTATGCGAAACTAGTATTCGTCTTAAAATGGCACGAATCTTTGAAAATGAACGTTGCCTAATACACTTAATGATATTTCCAATTATAATAAATTAGAAAATATCACCAAATTCCCCTGAAACATAGGCAAAATTTTCATTTCTTCAGACAGTATATTTCAAGTTTTATTAATATGTACAATCCTCCAAGAATCAGTTTCCCATTTTTGCTTACAAAACAGACACAAATGGATAAACTTGGCAAATTTACAGACCATTCAGCCATATATTCACTGTGTGTTTATCTGAAAGACCACTAGAAAATATAAAAAAGGTCTCCAAAAGTTGTTTCCCATGATAACGTTTGAATGCTTTCGTAAAAGCTGTACGTAATATAATATGCTTGGGTTAATTGTTCCGAAGTGCAACATCTTGTCTGTGAAAGATAATCCGATAAGGTGAAACGACTTTGCATTATGACTGCAATAAAATATACTTAACCCATTTTTGTAGGCTAACAGTGTTCGTGGAAAGGTTGTCGCCCTACAATGCACCATCTCCG